AACTTCAACAACTACTACGATCCTTCTCTCAAACGCGCGAGGAGGTCTCTGCTGTCCTCCCGAGGGATCTTCGTCGTCGAAGGAGATCTCAACGACGGGAAGCTCTTGGCGAAGCTCTTCGACGTCGTCGCCTTCACTCACGTGATGCATCTCGCCGCGCAAGCCGGGGTCCGTTACGCGCTGGAGAATCCTCAGTCGTATGTTCACAGCAACATCGCCGGACTAGTCAACCTCCTCGAGACTTGCAAATCGGCGAATCCTCAGCCGGCGATCGTCTGGGCGTCGTCGAGCTCGGTTTACGGACTCAACGAGAAAGTTCCGTTCTCTGAATCTGACCGTACGGATCAACCGGCGAGTCTCTACGCGGCGACGAAGAAAGCGGGAGAGGAAATCACCCACACTTATAACCATATTTACGGTCTTGCCATCACCGGTTTAAGATTTTTTACGGTTTACGGACCTTGGGGTAGACCGGACATGGCTTACTTTTCTTTCACGAGGAATATTCTTCAAGGTAAACCGATCACGATATACCGGGGGAAGAACCGGGTCGATTTAGCGAGGGATTTCACTTACATCGACGATATAGTGAGAGGCTGTTTAGGATCTCTCGATTCGTCGGGTAAGAGTACCGGGTCGGGTGGGAAGAAACGTGGATCCGCACCGTACCGGATATTTAATTTAGGGAACACGTCACCGGTTACGGTTCCGATTCTGGTGGATATATTGGAGAAGCATCTCAAGGTGAAGGCGAAGAGGAACTTCGTGGAGATGCCTGGAAACGGCGACGTTCCCTTCACGCACGCGAATATTAGCTCCGCCCGAAATGAATTCGGGTATAAACCGACAACCGATTTGGAAACCGGGTTGAGAAAGTTCGTTAGATGGTATCTTTCTTATTACGGATACAATACTAAAGCCAAGCTTGTACATTAACGGTGAATTTTTATTTTTTTTTGTACGGATTAATTTTTTTTTTAATATACTCCAACATTATTGTTATTATTATGATGATGCGTTTCTTAATTACTCATTTTAAGCTAATTACCCCCCAACTTTATATATTCTTTTCTTTTAAGACAATCAAAAACCAAAAAGACAGCGAATAAAATTGTTTTCTTAATTATAGTTATATTTGACCTTAGCAAATAATTACCTGCCAAAAATGTTGATTACGGGATCTACGGTATATGTAATCAGTGATATAATCTGGGGAAAATCAAATCAAATAAAATTTAAAAATAGGAATATCGTCAGCTGGAAGATTGTGACAGCAGAGAAAGTGGGCTTTTAGTGGTGGGTGGGGTCAATCAGACAAAAATAAAGGAGAAGACCTAAGCTGTACGGTAACCGTTGGATCCGATGAGGAATTTAATTTTTAAGTCGCAATCTTACGGTCCAGCTGTGAAGTACTCATGCGACGTTATCTTCTCCACCGACACCAACGAGGACAATAAACATATGGAACATATTCATCATTTTGTATTTTGGAGGTAGCAAAGAATAGGAAGTAGAAGAAAGTGTCTGGAAGTTTTTATAATATTCACGATAGTATTTGAGTCATGTATTTTTGGTCTATAGATTCTTTAGATTTAACATGTTCATATATGTATATAGATGTATTTCAAGAACTTAAAGTTCTTCAAACAAATCTTTGTACTTCTTGTTCAAGCAAACAAGTTATAGCATTCATAGATATTTGACATTTTGCGGGTCGTTAAGTGAGAACAAGTACATTATTTAAGACTGATATATTTATTTAGTTAGTTGTGATAGTAGGCTAAAACATAGTATAAACAACGTTATAAGATATATATAAAAAAACCATTTTATCATGTACTAAAATATCTTAACATTTAAAGACCTTGTGATGTCGGCAATCGGGCAAACAAGGCATTTTGTACCGAGTCTTCGTTATAAAATATATGGAGGATATTTGATCCCAACAAAAATAATGTAGAGGAGCAATTGGTGAATTGTGAATTTTATGAATTAATCGAGTGGTAACGTGGAGGAGAGACCAAATTATATCATTAACTAATGAAAATTCAAATGTAGAAAAGACTGAATTCTGTAAGTAAAAAAAATATATTGACTTTTGTATTTGGGTATGAATACTCGTTCAAAATTATACATGTTTCACACGGATATGGGTTATGCTTATCCGCTTTGATCACACTGCAGCAAATTTAAAATAAAATCAGTCACGCTTAGACCTCAGCCAAATGAAAAATTTGATGTACACACGATGTTATGGCATGGGTATTCCGTTTCCTTTTATTGAGAAAGCTGGTTCGGTTTGGTTGATAAAAACCTATTCGAGCTTTTACTTAATTTTAGGTTCATTGACCTTCGGTCTAGAGTTAAGTGAAGATTAGTCTTTTGTTAATGTATGGTCAAAAACACGAAGGTAGAAAACGAGTTTATCAGAGAGTGTTTAAAAACACGGTAGTCTAATTTAACTGTAGTGACCATACTCCTAACAAAACTGCTAACTGATGTGCTTATATACTAAACTACTTGAATTCTTCCTTATATGGAAGACTGATTAGTTGGAGTCTGAGTATATCTATGGATATGTTACATGGTAGCATGAATGACGAACGTCGTTGTTGTAATGCATAAATATATATGCTATTTTGGATGGGTGTAGCATGTTTTCTCTTACTGTGTATATTTCAAGTTTTTATCCATAATGGCTACCATAGTCTTTTCGTTCTTATAATTAATTGTTATCTTGTTCTTATTCTTATTTTCTTGCACTTTTGAATGTTGTTGTTCTTACTATCCTTTTCCTTCACGGTTGTATTTTCAACCAAGATGTGATACAAGTTACAAAATCATTTTAAATGTTGCACAAATCATCTACAACAATGATTTTTTTAGAAATTACGTACCGTATTTTACCCTTGGCCTTCAACAAAATCAGAGTGGTGTAAAACAAACCATACAACAGCGAATGCATGCCACTATAGTTATTTGATTTTGATATTGTTGATTTCTTTCCTGATATAGTTGAGTTTTAAAAATAGTTTAAAGTTAAACTGAAGGCCTAATGTGGATACTTATATTATTTATTACCTATTTTGTTTTTAATAATGTTCTGTAATATATGTAAAGAGGAAAATATTGCAAAATATCATTAATCTATGCATACTTACTTAGCAAAAAAAAATTAAAATGCTAATCTAAAGTATTTATATTTTAAAGGAAATGATATTTTAATAAATAATTCTCTGACCTCCATATCCCAAATCTAATATCATTGTTACATTGCTACTAACCAAGGTAGGTAACTAATCAGATTTCAAAATTTGAAAACATAAATTACTTGCTCAGAAACCGCGTGATAATTAAGAGTCATTTCTTGCTGGTATTTACTCAAAACGATTTGAAATAGAAACAACATCTGCATCATTACATTACATAACATACACGTCGCGTAGTCATATAAGGTAATATGGAAATTTCATTACAAATCTCATCACCTTCCTCTACGCGTTTTACTTTCACTATATAATAAATCTAATTTTGTTCTTTGCTGATTACATCTATTCTTCTTCATCACCAAACATTACAAACATGGTTCGTTGCAGTAACAGCCTCGTAGGCATACTCAACTTCTTCGTCTTCCTCTTGTCCATTCCCATTCTCGCCAGCGGAATCTGGCTCAGCCTTCATGGCCATACACAGTGCGAGAGGTTCCTCGACAAACCCATGATCGCTCTCGGCGCTTTTCTCATGGTTGTCGCACTCGCAGGAGTCGTGGGATCTTGCTGTAGAGTGTCGTGGCTCCTATGGTTTTACCTTTGCGTCATGTTCTTGTTGATCGTCACCGTCTTTTGTTTCACCATTTTCGCCTTTCTCGTCACTAATAAAGGCTCTGGTGAAACAATCCCCGGAAAGGCTTATAAGGAGTATAGACTCGGTGACTACTCTGAGTGGTTGCAAAAGCGTGTGAACGACAATCATCACTGGAAAAACATTAGAAGCTGTCTTTACGATGACAAGTTCTGTACTCGTTTGGAGTTATTCTCTGATATATATCGTAATGCTTCTGAATTCTCCAAGACGGATCTCACTTCTCTTGAGGTAAACCATTTTTGAAATTCAATGACGTTAATCTGAATAGAAAGGTTAGATCATTTCAGAGGTATGTAAAGAACTTTTACTTTTTAGGGTTTTAGTCTGACGACCCTTTTTTTTCTTCATCATGAATCATCTTTTCATTATACTATACTCTAAAATTTTGTTCATTCACAAAGTGTTTATTGTTCATTGGTTACAAAGAATCTAAAATCTTTACTAATAATAATTGATTGAATTTTAGTGGTTGTCCTTGAGGTAATAATTCTGAGTTGTTTTAGGCCAATTTTGACTAGAATCTGAATCAGTAATTAAAAAAGATTTTATCCCTTTTAGGATTTTCAACTTAATATTTTAAAGTTCTAACTAATGGAATTCAATTCTCCATTCAAAATCTCTTGTTATAGAAAAAAATATCTAAACTTTTAAAACAAATCACAAAGGCTTTCCCCTTGTTCAATGTATTTGAATCTTGATTTTAATCCTATGATATTAATTATGATTTGGTTGCGTTTACAGTCTGGTTGCTGCAAGCCCTCTAACGACTGCAACTTCACATACATAAGCCCAACAAATTGGAACAAAACAACAGAAACATCTAAAAATCCAGATTGCAAAACATGGGACAACGATAACGAGAAGCTCTGCTACGATTGCCAAGCATGCAAGGCCGGTTTTATCAACAACCTCAAGACCTCATGGAAGACAGTTGCTATTGTCAACATCGTCTTCATTGTAGTCCTCATTATCGTCTACGCTATGGCATGTTGCGCCGTCAGAAACAACAAGAAGGACGAAAATAATTATGCCTCGTTCTAAAGACTGGGAGTTTGATTTTTCGTTTTATTAGAGTAAAAAAATCTTTCAAATAATTCTAGAATCAGAAGAAATAAATTAAGTGATCTTGAATCAGTTTAGTTGTTGATGTTTTGGATTTCTCCAGCTGATTTATGTTTGGACAGAAGAGGATTCTCTAAATCTTTATTACAGTTTGTTGTGTTTGAAGAATCTTCTATATGAATCTTCACTTCTGAGTTGTTTTTATTGTCTCTCTCTTCTTGATTCATCATGACGTCTTTTGCTTTACCCCAGAGCACAATGTAAAGCCCCATTATCACACATATTCCTCCGATTAAGCTAAAAAATGAAAAAAAAATACAATGAAGATGTGTATGGATTGTTGTAATCTTATAGTAAGGAAAAGTTACTATTTACCTTCCAGTGAAAATCTCTTCTTTGAGGAACAGAGAAGCCAAGATTGTGACAATGACTGTACAGAGTGGGTTAAACATTGAAGAGAACAAAGGGCCTCTTTTAGATATAACCCAAGCTTGGACGGTAAAAGATAGCGCTGACGCTACAACTCCCTAACAATCGCAATTTCACAATTAATATGTTAATATTATGACTAATCCCGGGTAAAAACGAAAGAAAATATCTACTGAAGAATTGTTGTATGTGCGTACAGCGTAGAGACATGTAGCAAACTCGGAGTAAGAATGGAGAATCCAAGCATTTGGGTCTTTCTCAAGGAAGAAAGTGACGACTGCACATTGCACCGTTCCGAATAAGCACATCCATGCAGACAAAGAGAGGTGATCTGGGTAATAGGCAGATATTGGAACCTAAGGCATTGTTGAAACAAAGTTTACTTTTCTTCTAATGCAAGAAACATTACCAAAGAGAAGTACTGATCTTACTGTAGTTTACCTGAAGAATGAGCCAGAAAGACCAGCAAAGATTACTAGAGAACAAGAACAAACAACCAATCAGCCACATGTTTTGGTCCTTAACATCTCCTAGCAACGAGTTCGCTAGGGATAAAATAGATTCTGAGTTGAGAATCTTTGGTCCACGAAGAAGAGTCATGGAGATCGCTCCTATTACACATAGGACCGTCCCTGCTATCTTTGCTAAGCCTCTGATGTTCTTAATATTCACCTTCTCGTATCTAAAGATATGAGCATAATTAGTTACACATGAATCTTACTTTCATATGAAGAGAGATGTATAAATGTAGTTTATGTATATAATATACCCGACGAGAAATGAGATTAGGAAGGTGACAGCAGGGTTGATGTTACCCATGGCACTTCCCATCGACGATGAAGCTAAGTAAAGACCTTCAAAATACAGATTTTGATTGATTGTAATGCTGCAAAATAAACAAGTCAAAAGATCTCAAGATTCATCAAATTAGAGGTCTTAGGAAATAAAGTACAAAACATATAGACTTACCCTATAAGTGAGACCATGAATATTAACGAAAAGCTCTTTAGACCTAAAGAAGATATCTTCGATTTTCTCCTACAATCCCCAAAAAAACACATACACGCAGAATTAGCAAGTACTAGTTACACATTCTTATATAAATATAGGGAGAGAGATGTGAGTTTTGTAACCTTGAGAAGTAGAGAAATGGGAAGATGCAAATGGTGGCCAAGGCTTGCCTATAGAGGATAAAAACTCGAGGGCTTGTTCCATGAACCAAAGTAGCTCTTGAGGAAAGAGTCACTCCTCCGTAACACAGTTGCAGCCCAATCATCACCATCACCGGCTTATACTCCTCTACCTTCCCCATCTTCTCTCTCTTTCTCTCTCCCTCTTTAGATGTTTATGTCATCAAGTATAATACTACCAGGACGATCTTGTTAATTATATATCTATAACCATCCAATAATAGACTAGATGCTAAGAGAATAATAGTATTATACCAAAACGATTCGGTTCGCCACTACGTGCTCGAGTGCTTCTTTGCCTAGTGAACACACCTTTTACGAGAGACTACACCAGTTCAGATAGTGTCTTGTGTATTAACTCGTGCTAAAATCGAACTTGTACATAAGTTTACTATTGAACTCTGCCTCGTTCACTACCAACAGAAGTTGACTTTAATTGTTTTCTGATTTCTATTTTTTGTCTCTACAACAATGTGTTTATGATTATTGTCCACAAACGTAACATTTATGAACGATGGCGGGCGGGTCCATCAATCAATCCCTATATGGCTACAACTCCTTTTGTTTTAATATCACCAACATTTGTTACTCAATCACATGTGGCAGCTAGAAAATGTCTGTAGTCTATATACCATTCAAGAAAACTACGGAATTTATGAAGGTGGTAATTTGTGTGGCATCATTGTGAATCTTAATCTTTTTTTTCTTTTCCGAGGTTGTATTAAATATTAAAATCTTAGATCTTAGTACAAGAGATCTGAGCATCTTAACATGACAGCTTTTTCCAGACTTAGTCTTGGGATAGTGCAGAAGAGTGAGTGAGTGAGTTATCTATAATTTGTTTTTTAATTGTATTTTTGTTTATCAGTTGTCACAGTTGTATCAAAGTGCAGGCATTTATTTAGTACTATCTAATAACAATACCTGCTTCCACAGATCTAAAAGATGAACTAAACCAACATTCAAGTACCCTTTTTAACATAGTACATTTAAGTACATTTTTATCGTGGAAGATACTTCCAACTGGCCATTCTTAATTTCTTTAATTATGTTTTCACAACCTTCGTTTTATAAATTTGGTGAAATTACGTATGAACGACACTAACATCACTTCGATCTGGTCTACTCCATCATGCACCTCTAAATTAGTGTTTTCCTAATTAACTTTGAAATTAGAAGAAAAATATGTATTTAAGAGATACAAACAAAATAATTTAAAGTTACATGTGTTACCAACGACCTCTCTAATAGAACCTTCTCAAAGTGCATGGGAAAATCATATTAAAATACACAGTATGTGAAAAAGGGACTTATGAGGTCTGAAGCTTTGATCACTAACAAAAGTTTGCACATGGAAGCAATCACTCAACTAGGACCATATATAATTGTAGGTCCTATGTATGCAATTGCATAGTATGATTATTCCAGGAAGTCTTCCTATATATATATATATATATATATATATACGTCCTGTTAAAATTAAGTTAAAAAACTAATATCACCCTAAAATTAATATATGTTTACCCTCTCATAAATTGTCTCTCTCAGATGATTTCAGATTCGGCTTATGATATGTATTACAATATGTAATATTGATTTCGGCCACTATCGTAAGCCACAGAGGTCGATCTTTCTGCTGCTGGTCCCATTGGCTGATATATACTGTCTCAGATTATTTCGGCCGTTGTTGTTAACATATTCTACGACCGTGGTATACATTCATATGTTTCAACTCACACATACATAACTTATGATTACATATATACAATGACATCATTTTCTTGCTTAAAATTAAGCTTTTGACATTTTCAAACTTCTCCGATAAACAACTACGTTAAGTAATTTGGGAGGCAAAAATTCTACTTTTGTCCTTGGAAGCGTACGGCAGAAGCTCTTAACTAATTAATCTTCCCTTGATTTAAGGGGACAAAGTATCATTAAAGGAGATTATGTTTGTTGATTTCAGATTATACCCAAAGCATTATCCAATTATATATTACTATTAATTAAAAGAGAAACAGTTATATATACTTTAATCAACTCTTGGTCTATCTTGGTCTTAGATTCGTAGACTGTGTCATGGAACTAATCCACTCAGCTATTGCGTCAGTTCTACCATTTTAACTTCAAATTATTTTACATGGCCAACCAAAGAAGTCACTCTTTCTTTAGTGAGCAAATTAAAGAGAACTGATTGGGTCGTTCAGTCCCTGGTGAACAAGGGTCCCTCCATGTGTACACATGCGCTTGAGGTGGACGCGTGCGTGCAAGAACGTCCCCTCCCCCTTGCCGTAACGACGTCGGTTTAGTGTGTTTCTACATTTGAATATTCATATGACTTCTATGCAGTCTTAAATTAAAGAGCCAAGGCAAATTTTCGTAAATGTTTGGGAGCACGACAATATTTTAATCAGATAATAGATTAGATGGTGACGACATGAGATGGTGGGCGTGAAGAGTTCGGAGAATGATTGTGGAGAGGTTCCCGTAAATTACGGAGGTCCACTGGATAAGAAATTCTCGCGTACCAGACGATCCAAGTTCGATGTATTTTGTTGGAGAAAAGTTATAATTTTGATATTTTAAGAGATTGGTATAGAACCGCAAATTTTTATATTCATGTACAATACATCAAATATCATTATCATCTATCAATATTCATGTGCAACGTTGTACAGCGTCTATCAATATCATTTTTGGTTTTATAGATTGAAATGTCCAAATAATGAAATTCAATCATATATCCTTAATTATTATTGCTTTTTTCTCTTTTCGCAACCAGGCTTTCCCAAAGTTTGCGGGTCGCCACGTTTCCACCACTAAAACCATTTTTGTTATTTGTTGGATGTTTATAAAAAGTTATACAAGCACAGATGATGTACATATGCGATTATATATATTTGATACATAGTAAGTGAATGGATCACTATTACAGGAAGAAATGATTCACCGTATAACTAGGGCTGGTGCTGTTGCAGCATAAAGTTCACGACTTTTTCTTTTATTTATGCATAGATTATTGGTCTATAATGCATATATTATTAATCCCTAAAATAAAACGTCAAAAATAACCTAACAATAAACTTCTACTATGTGTTTTTAGAATCAGTTACAATTTTTCCGCTATAAATTCAATATAAGCTCGTTAATTGACTATATAACTAGTTAAAGAAAATAAATAAACCAAGTTGCTTTGCTCTAATGGTAAATAAGTTCCAGCTGGAGTGCCTGCTCCTGGGTTTGAATATCTCTGGCAGTGTCATTGTTCGTTTTGGTCTCTAGTTTGGATCAATTCGATGGAGTCAGGATACTCTTTTAGAAAATGAAAAAAAAAATACATTGTCATTAACAAAGATGAACGAATTTTGAAACATCGTAAACATACATCATCATAAATTTTCGGCGGAAACAAATAATAATCGACAAAAGTTTCCTAAATTATAGGTTAACACAAAAGGGAACGTGGGCCATAGATAGCATGTGCATGCATGTGCTTCTCCTATCTCCAATTGCCCCCACCATTTTCCCTCTCCTTTTGAAACAAATAAAATGGTCCATCTTCTCCTTTCTCCCTTACCTCTCTGTCTCTCTCTCTCTCTCTCTCTCGTCGATTTCAAGAACTCGTGAGGTGACCGCAGATCTCCTCTAAGTTATCTTTGAAACTCAACCAAAAGAAGAAGAGGAAAATTCTACATAAAAAAGGTAATTGCTTATGTCTCTTTCCATCATGATAAGGAACCCTAAACGGAATATACATTTGATGGATATTACATGTCTCCCTTGGATCATGCATACTTCGGCCTATAAATGCAACATGGATGATTTACTTTCTTTTATAGGAATTATTATTCAGAATTTTGAGTATTAATTCTCCTTGATTATATAGGTTTAAGGATGCAGCCTACAAGCTTAATGAAAGAGGAGTTCCTAAAGAAATGGCAAATGGGGCTTCAGATATACCGTCCTTTGATAGACAACACGAGCGTCTCCGAGAGAAGGAAAGCGATAAAGCTCTCTGCAGACGTTGCAATGGCTTCTCTAAGGAGAGGTACAACTTGTTGGAGCCGAGCCCTAATCCAGAAAACCGCCACCGAGAACAATTTCCTCGTACGTCAGATGCTCTCTGGTATCAAAGCCGAAACGTTAATCAACAAGAAGTTACCTAAGGTTATGTGTCATAGAAAGATAGTGAGAAGAAGCAAGAAGAACTTTATGAGAAGGAAATCTAGATCAGTGAGCGAAGAGGTCGCAGCAAAAGCTAGGAAGCTCATCAAGAGAAAGACTCAAGGATTAAGAAACGTTGTCCCCGGTGGAGAGTTTATGAACAACGACGTCTTGCTGATACAAGAAACCTTAGATTATATTGTCTCGCTTCAGACACAAGTGAATGTTATGAGGAGTATTGTTGATGCTGCTGAGGCCGGAATTGAACGGTAAATGATTTTTTTTTTTTTTTTTGTGGAGGTAATTTGTGAAAGCATGATACTGATCGGATGGGATCATTGTTGGTCGACAGGACCGCATGTTATTTGGAGAAATTGAAATTTACGATCGAGGATTGATAGAATTTTATAGTAAGTATTGTACAAAACAGAATCTATACACGCTTATATGAATTTTTCTATTTTCTTAATGGTGATTTTAATTGAAACATTTTGTTAGCATGCATTTTATATTGTTTGTGTATAGTTATGGTTGTCGTTCGGTTGCGTTTAATGACTGATATCATTTTGATACATTTTAATGCTTCGATTGCTTTTCTTGGCATGCCTAATAAATACTACAAAATGGTTAGTGTTATGTCTCAGATTTTAGAATTTTTTTGAACACCTGTCTCAGATTTCAGATATGGGAAATATTATAGACATAAGGTTCAAAACATCCACGATTTTAAAACAAAATAATTGATCAGATTTTAATCTACTAGAGGAAATGATATCAGCTCATATGAGTTGTCACTATAAGAGTAAATTTGACTTGTTATGATTAAGAAAGGGTATGTTTTCACCTTTCAAAAATTTTGTAGCACGGGACAAACAATACTTTCAATTTCAACCTGTGAAAAAATCAGTCATTTGGCTTTTATATACATACTCCATGTTCTATCAATCAGCCTCATTTAATAGGGAAGAAATGACAACGAGAAAAAACCAAAAAACATACATATTCTCTTATTCTTCACGTTCACTTTTGTTTTCAACAGCCAAGTCAATTCATTTTGATAGATATACTATTTATTAATCCATGTATATGTGTATAAATGCATGTGATTCTCAATTTAACTTTGATATTTTCTATTAGGTCTCCGCATAATGGACACATAATTTATAATATTAATCTATATATGAGTTATGTAGCTAACATTTTCACTATAGATTAATAGACGAAAATTAAATAAAAAGATTTGGATGTCCATATCACTTACCCTTGCAAATTTTAAGAAACATCTGTAAATCTTGTTAGGCCCAGCAGCCCATTTATCCACTAATTTGGACTCTTATGTATTTAACAGTTAGACTCGTGCCAACTGAAAATGTCCATACACATGACAAGCACATAGTAAGCGAGATGCGTGAAGAAAACAAAGACAACGCAGCGTTGCGCTTTTCCTATACGCAGATCGTCACTGCTGGACATTTGATCGTACTCAAAAAGACATGTAGTCTTCTCTTTTTACTGTTTTGTGGAGTAGTGAGAATTGATCTATGTATAATAAATTTCCAACTATATACTGGCAATGCCATGTGGTCCTATTTGAAAATATATCGTGGCTCATATATATATTTTGTTTTAGACGATAGTATATCTCATATAAACCCACTCAAGAATTAACTGAAAGAACCAAGACGTAATTTTTGTATATTTTGTTTTAGACGATAGTGTACCTCATATACACACTCGAGAATTAACTGAAAGAAGTCAAGAACCAAGACTCCACTTTTCACAAAATACATGTATCTCACTAAAACTGAAAAGAGGTTTTTTAACCCATGTATATTTTTTTTCTTCAATTTTTTTTTGTCAATGATTCTTTTTCTTCCTTTCAATTCAAATTTGAGTTGAATTTATTCGCACACCCAATGTATTAACGTTAAAAACTAGTATATGTTGTCACACAATAAAGACCAAGTGACTAGTGGGCATGTAACCCAACTGCTTCCATGGCCATTATTAATTCACCAATTAATGCAAAACTTTAGCCATTCAACATTAAAACGTATATATATACGTATATTCGTACACACCCCCATTTACGATAGATCGTATCACAAGAGTCAAAATGTCACTCTTTTGTCGTATGAAGAATTGCCTCAATTCAATGCAACTGTCTTACCACCACACCCAGTTCTTATCTAATGCTCCAGAAGAAAGAAAATTCCAAATAAACAAAGAGAATATTATTCCTTCAAGCTTCTTAGAATTACGGTTTGTATCTCAAGTGAAACGTATATTTAGCTGGTTATAGTTATTTTTTTTAATTAGACAAAAAGCATATGGTTAAACTGTTTTGCTGAACATATTTAGTTGTTGCTGGCGAAGTTCGTATGGTGTTTAAACCTAACATATTTAGTTGTTGCAGACTAAAATAGTCATAGAGAGACTTTGATACGGTTTCTTCAACAATCATTCAAATGGTTTGAATCTTTAGCAAAAAAATAAATGTCTATCAAATTCAATCATTTCATTACATTTAATTGCGTCGTTTTCTAGTTAGATGGGAAGCTCTAATCAACAATTAATTGTTTTGGGCCACATAATTCAGAATTGAAAAGATTTGCAAAAACATGACGCACCATAATGTTTAACAATCTATGCCTAACAATATTTATATTTCAACACCACGTCTCTACAATGATTCATCTGTTTTTTAGCTTTATGAGGACTAACACAAAATAACAACTGAAAAAGAAATTTAAATGTGAAAAAGAAAAAAAATAATATAGAAACTAGACATTAGAAGCAGAAGAAGAATGAACGACCTTGTTTTGTCTCCCTGCAAGCCAAAGCATAGTCCTCCTAGCAAAAGATGGTGTCTTCACTTCCAAAGATGACGCATTTTCGAACTTTTGATTCTCCTCCTCACAACCACTTTCGGTTTTCGCATTCTCTTTCGGATTATCAAACCCGAAAGAGAATGCTCTACCCGAAGACGACGAAACCAATGAACTATCCTCTTTTCCTTGAACCTTACTATGTCTTTCCCTCTTACCCTTTAGCCAAATTTTCGATACCGAAACGCTCTCTCTTTCAACTACATTCTTCTCGCTCGCTTCCTCCATAATCCTCATCGAACCGGTCCCATTAAACTTCAACCTCCCCATTGGATCAAAACTACATTCGGACATAGCGGTCCTGTGGCCAGGCAAGTGACGGTTCTTGCTTGATACTTTCTTGGTTGAAACATGAACCTCAAGAGCTGTTTCTTCATCCATTATATACTCATATGATCCCATTGAAAAACATCTCCTTTCATCTAAAATGCTGCTGATACCAATGTTATTATTGTTGATATTACTTCCTTCTCCAACATCTGTGTTCCTAAATTTCCCTAGCTTAACCGCAAAAGGAACAACCTTCTCAACCGAACCACCCAACTCACCATCTTGATCTTTACGACCTGACTCCGACCCAATATCATTGTTTCCGACAAAACCTAGATGAGAACTGGATCTTGAATGAGCACTAGGTTGCACATCATCAGCATCACTCGCAGCCACACAAGCTGCACTATCTCTATCTCCAACAATCTCTCTCGAGCTATGCTCACTAGCCGATTCAAGAACGAGGAGAAAAGAGGGACGAGGATCTTGATGAGGAGAGAGATCAGAGAGGAGACTTGATCTGCACAAGGGACAAGTAGAGTGAGAGAGAAGCCACGTGTCGATACAATCCATGTGAAACGCGTGGCTGCATTTAGGCAAAAGCCTAAGCTTGTCCTCTGTTTCAAACTCAGAGAGACACACAGCGCAATCAAAAGGGTAGTTCTTGAGACCGATGATGGACTTGTAATGGAAAACAGGTAACGTGTCGATGAAGGATTGGTCGACTCCTGAATCGTGGAGATGGAAAAGCTGTTGGAGCTGGCCTTGAAGAGCAGTGACGTTGTCGAAGTAATCTTCTCTGTCGCGTCTACGTGGCGTGAGGAGGAATCTGACTAAGAGATGGAGGAGACCTGAGATGAAGAAGATGATGGAGAGGATTATGATTATCAGGAGAATGCTTGGACTGATTTCGTTGTTTATGTCGAAGTTTGTGTTTGGTCGGATGGTTAATGGTGGTGGTCGTGGAAGTGGTGAAGGAGAGAGGAGGTTCTGAGTTGTTTTGATTTCTGAGAAAACCCGATTCATATTTTCTCGAGAAAACTTCATGGGTTTGCAAGAAAGAGGAAACTTGAGAGGAAAGAGTCAAGCTTTGTTGTTGTTGTTGTTGGTTTCAGACATGGAAGAAGCTCTTTAGAGAGAATTGCTATGTTTTTTTTTCTTATGAGCTTTGTTTTGTAAGAGGAAAGAGATGGAGAGAGTGGTGAATAAGAGAATTACAGGTTGGACCATTGATGATGACAGAAGAGAAAAAATTTCTTCATTTAAGATTTTTTTAACTGTACACCAAGAAGAGTGGTACCTCTTGAATCTCCAGATTTTCCGAGACTGTAATTAATTGTGTATAATCTTATATATTAAAACAGAAGTCATGACTTGATTTCATGTGTGATTTTTTAAAAAATGGACTGTTACTAGAAAGTTATGTTACATTAACTCTCTAATAATATTATCATTATTATATCTTATAATATGCTTAACAATTTTGTTTTGGTAAATTACCCCACACCTTCCAACTTAGTCACGCAAAATATGTCAATAGATATAAATTTAGGAATCTTCTATTATTTATAAGGAAATATGTCAATAATAGTTAAATGCTTCCAGAATATATTAACAAAAATCACAGATTATTAATATGTAATATTTATATACCTTAACAAAATTTACACGTTATATATATTAGATAAATTTATTTCGATGTAAAATTTTAAAATTGTATTGTTTAAAAAAAAGAAATTGTTTAAAAGTTCCTTTTTAATAAAATTTTTATAATATTAATTTATGAAGCTATAAGTTTAGTTTTTAGCAAAAAATTCTTCGAAGTTTATATTATCTTTGCAAATTAAATTACACTAATATTTAATCAAACTCTATTTATATTACTTTATCTAAAAATGAAATACTAATCTAACAAACAATAAAATATAGAAGAAGAAACAAACACATGTTTGAAAGTCATGTATAATATAGAAAATTTGAAACAATCTATTTGATTAAAACACTTATTATATAATATTATTATATTTGAATACATATCGTAAATATGTGATTACTATAATATATACCAATTTACAAGTGAAAACAAAATGTTTATATAACTATAAACGAAAACAAACACCCGCGCGGTTGCGCGGGTCAAAATCTAGTTAATTATTTAATTTTTAACATCTAGACATGCAAAGTCAATCAAAGATTAGTTTAGAAGAAGAAGCAAATCAGAGGTAATGACGCGAATTAATTAAATGATTTTCCAGGAATAATATATTTGCGATCTCACCAAATCCCATGCATCCCCATTTAAATCAACAAGACAAAGAACACCACCACTAACTTCACGGGTATTTTTAAACACATAAAATAACAGTTCATTACTTGTCTTCATATACAAATTAAATAAATAAATAATAGTATCATGAATATAACATGACTCCTAATTTTTAGCTACACAACCAAATCCCAAACTATTATTCCTATTTCAAGTTGGAGCTCCTTTATATTTTATGTATTTTTATTTTATATTAACCGAAAAAATTGTATCTTGCATTATGTTTGTAAAATAGTTCTATAAATTTTTGGAAAATGGAAAGTTGAGGAACGGAAACATAGGACAAGAGGACACGGAAGCGAGAAGCAGAGAGCAACTCTGTTTATCGAGATTTAGTGGGGTCCAACTTATTAAGTCAAACCAGAAGAAAACACTTTTCTTTTGTTCGTTTTTTAAAACTACACAAAAACCTATTTCAATTGTTTACACGAAGCTCTCAAAAGGCTGTTCTAGTTACTAGACGTCTACAAATAGTGGTTTTATCTTTTTGGGGCAGTGGGACTTTTAACTCTGCTGTTAGGAGAGAGGTCAAGGACGAAACAAGAGATCAGCATTATGAGAAGGTTCGATGCTTTTTATATTATGACTCGAGGTGAAAATTTTGTCCTATCTTATGCAGTTTAACCTTTTTTTCTTTTGTCATTATGCAGCTTTTTTGTTGTTAATTAAAGGGACGATTTGTGAACTCGTCGTGTCATTATGCAGTTTAACTAGTTTTATTATCCAGTAGTAAACATATTTTCCTCAAAAAGTTCAAAAGAAGATACTATTCTTGTAATTACATTACTTTTTTGATTGTCTACATTGACTTTTTTTATTTTCTTTCCGATTCACCTGCTTCCATTGACCAATAAAACCGAGTTAGTAACATAACAACTACACGAAATGTTTTAATCATTCACATGTCAAATTTATCATAACCATGATTAAATTTTAGCGAAACATGTAATGTACCCCTTTAGCCCTTCCTAATGTACGCATTCAATGTATTTTAGAAACTTATAAGACTACATCATAACAAACAATGTTTAAATATAAACTCAATTTTACATACTTAGATTGATTTTGTAGAACAACAAAGAATCGATTATTTTCAAATTACCTTTAAGCATTAGAGAGACCTATAAGTCATTTTTTTATACAAAGTTTGGTTCTCATCAGAGTGACGTTTTTTTCTTACTAGGCAGGTTTGCAAAATCCAACACGTTGACTTTAAGTTACTTTGTAAGAGTCTCCACTTCTTCCTATAAATAAATGAATTACTAGTTCGATGATTTAATTCTGATCTTGTAGTGATGCAAATTCCTCTGTCGACATATATATTTTGCATATTGTTTTTTCTTTATTTCTAAGTCTTCCCTACCTGAGTTTTTTTTTTCCAATGATACTATTAATGTGAAAATAATGGCAAACAGATTGGGTGGGGATCAATGGGACAATGAACTTTCAAGTTAGATCTCCCACAATCGTGTAACCACTAATTTGTCATTACATAGTTTTAAAATCTTTAATAATTCGACCTAAATTTGAATTTATGAGATTAGTCAATTGTTGAAATTTTCTCCGTCGACACCTTTCTCACGAAACAATATTAAAATGTGTCACAATACACGTATTGAAAATATTTAATGAGAAATTGAACCTTATAAACAGGAAAAGAATCCCCATGTGCATGTGCTACACATAATACATTTATTGCTTTGCCAATAAATTTAAGACCCTTGCTTAACTGTCCATCTTTATAAAATCTGTAAAATAGAGATGTAAAATATCATAATGTTTAAGCAAAACCATCCGGAAAGTACTTGACATATCAAAATATCATTCAAACGAAGAGTTCACATTCTGTTAAGAACTCTAACACCACTGTAGATCTACGTACACATTCAATTAGGTCAAACCTCAGAGAGGTTTTGTCCACTGCAACGCACTTAACCGGTTTTATACACAGAACTTATCAATTTCTAGCGGCTAGTTTACATAAGATTTTAAACTAAAAAAAAAAAAAAAAGAAGATTTTAAACTAAAGCGGTAGTCTTTTCATGGATTTTACTAACAACTGTGTATATGTAGTTCGAGAGTGCAGTTCGTGTATAATG